TTTAATTAAATGGAGCTGTCTGACTTTTCTGATATTTTCATTCAAAGATGGCTTATAATAGGGTAAATGATTGTCCCCGATTGTTTGGACCTGAGGGAACTTGGGACTTTTTGTTTTGAAATCAGGACGGTTCTGGGCGTACCAGATGAGGTGCCCACGACGGCATGCACTCTTATAGCGTTTCTAAATGATTTTTGAAGATCATTTTCTTTCAAAAGATTTCTATGATAATATTTAAACTAAAGTTGTTTTACTAAACAATGATAGACTATTTCCCACTTCTGAGAAGATCTGTGTCTGAAATGCTTTTCCTAAAGGCAAAGCCTGTAATGTGAAGAGACCATGCTTTATCGAGTTCTGTCTGATCGAGTCTGTTTACTCCCCAGGGGAAGTCACCGAAGAACTAGTAAGAAGCAAGGAGTGATGCGTAAGGGCTTATGAGGGAGTTTGAAAAGAAGAGAGTGGCAAAGACATCGCAGCGGAAAACCAGGCTTCTAGAATATAGTTCTTGATTCGAAAGATACTTGCAGGCATTTGAATGGATCGGTTCCTGTTTCCCTGTCCTTCCAGTGTGTTGCGGAGAAGATAGAAGATACTCACAAGTTACAAAGAGCATGTTTCATTTCTTTGTGTTACTGTTTACTGGCATATTTACTGATGTTTGCCAGTATTTACTGGTAATATTTTAATTCCTAAGAGATAGACCAGTTTGGTGTTGGGCGGGGGGGTTGGGAAACAGCAACTACAAACAAAGCTAACCTTTTAAGAAGAAATCTCTGTTTACATGTTGGAATATAGCTTTATTATTTTATCTTTTTCCATTAGAGAAATGTTTATTAAATGACAGTATTAACAGCTGTCACACTGTTCTGGTACATAGGCTACCTGGGAGAAGAAATTTAATTGGGTTAGAAATTTACTGTGATTTGAATGCTTCTCAATTCAAAGTATTATTTTCTGGTAGGAGAGCTTTTGACTATTCACTGTAGGGAGCCAGAATTTCACATATATATCTTTTTACCCCTGCCTTTGAATATCAATTTTCTTGATCCACTTTTGCTCCCAAATCATTGTTCCCCTCTAAGAGTCGGATGAGTTATCACAAATTTGTGATACTGGTTTTGGTAAAATTAGAATTTAGAAAACTCACCTCGGGCGTCTCAGCATTGCTCTTTGGTGTTATCTCTACACTGAAATGGTTGTTGTTAATATTGTTTTCCAACCATAAACAACCACTAGGAATGCATGAAATATATTGACCTAAGTGTATTCAATTTGGTCCCCTGTAATAAACATTTATTGAATACCCACTACATGTAAGGGGACAATAGAAAACAAAATTTGACATTGGGAGGCCAATAATTCAAACATCAAACTCGGGGAAAGAAAAAGTCAGTAGCCACTCATTTTGGTTAGGTTTTTAAAAGTTATATTACATTACATATATTCATATATGTGTATATATATATTTAGGCTGAATTTTTAAGACTCGATTATCCTTTTCTTTTGTACTCTTGTGAAATCTGTAACAATTTGACTCAGTATTTAAAAGTAACAAGTCTTTTTTTCTTCAGTGAGCTGCAAGGGCGTGAAATAAGATCTCAGGTTCCCATCGTAAACTCTCCCTGACTTCTGCAGCTTGCCGCAGATGGGGCAGGGCATGATGTTTGTGGCTGATAATGTGACAGAGTTTGAGTTCAGTGGACTTAGTAATTTGGGGGCTGTCATCCTGAGTTGAAATGCGCTGTAGAAAGGAAGACAGAGGCCAAAGGACCTGTGACTTGGCCCACCAGTGGGCAGGATTTGGTCCAACTCTGCTTTCGTGGTGGCAGAGACATTTCCTTTCTCTGTGATGGCGAAGGAAGGTGTATTAGAGCAAGTGGGAAGAGCGCCCCAAAGTGAAACTGGTGACCGTTTTAATGCAGAGACTATGCTGATAAAAAGTCAAGAATATTTCACACTGATGAACTAATTTTAACTCAGAATACCTCATCTGGGTGGAAACGGGCTTTGAGGGTTAGCAGTGGGGGGCTGCCTCGTAACAATTCCCTGCCTCTGTAGTCTGTGTGACATCACCATTCCTGTGGCTTCACACATCATCCCAATGTTCATGAAAATGGGCCACTAAATGCCGTGCAGACAGAGCGAGTCTCTTATTGATTAAAGGGATTGGCCAATAGCTCAGGCCTTGCAAGAATGGGGGCTTCAAGAGGGGTGTAGGGATGGGCTGGGAGGGCACGTGATTGGTGGGAAGTATTTAAACAGAAGTAAGATGAGGCCAACGCTTAAACCACTTGGTGTTAAGTTCTAAGGACAGGGTGCATCAATACAGTGAAATGTGCTTTTAATTCTCTTAATTATGTTTTAATTTCCTTCATTAAAAGTGTGTTCAATTGTATTAAACACATCTGTTTGATACAGATTAAACAGATATGTGTTCTCTTGGACCCTGTAATTCTAGGTCTAAAAATTTATGTTTAGGAAAACCATCCAGATACAGGCAAAGGGGTGCACATACAAGGATGCTTATCACAGCATTATCTAAAAGCAGTATGAAAGTGGACATAACCGGAATATCTGTCAATAAGGAGACAGAACACACTATAGAAATCCAAAATGACGCTGTAGATGCGTTTGTCAAAGAAGGCCAGAGTATACTATTTAAAGAGAAAATAATACCAAAAGTCATGACTACCAATGTCTAGGTGTTTTTTAAAAAAAATATGCAAGTAACAAAAAATCAGTATGCAGGTATTAATTTGAATTAGTTGCATTAACTAAAAAGAGAAGTTTGGTACTCTGAAGTGTATCATCGCTGGGTAGCAGGGATAGAAGTGACATTTTAGAAGAAATTTTATACTTTTAAAATAAAAAAGAAACGAAAGGTATTACCTTAAAAAAATCTGAAATAAACAAGAACAAATGAAAAAAGCTTTCATTTTAAACACCGAGTTGCACTTTGCCTAAGCAGGAGCCCTTGGTCTCAGCTGCAGGAGGAAGTCGCTCTGCTGCGAAATGAACAGCCCCGGCTGCACATGGGGTTTGGACCGAGGCGCCCCGCAGCAGTGAGTCCTGCCCGAGAAGGGGCTCCATTCTGAGGGCACGTGCATGAGTCCAGTTGATTTGTTAAGTCCAACAGAGTTAGCCTAGGTACCCAACTAACACAATCGGTTATAAATATTGTATCTTCATAGGTTTATAATACTTCTCACCCAAATAATATATAAAGAATGAACCCAGAAATAAAACGTTTCTAACGAGTGCCCCGGAGAAGGAAATGGCAACCCACTCCAGTATTCTTGCCTGGAGAATCCCATGGACAGACAAACCTGGTGAGCTACAGTCCATGGGGTTGCAAGAGTTGGGCCTGACTTAGCGACTAAACCACCACCAGTGAGCACCAAAGAATCGATGCTTTCAAACTGTGGTGTTGTAGAAGACTCTTGAGAGTCCCTTGGACAGAAAGGAGATCAAACCAGTCTGTCCTAAAGGAAATCAGCCCTGAATGTTCATTGGAAGGACTGATGCTGAAGCTGAAGCTCCAAGAGTTTGGCCACCTGATGTGAAGAACTGACTCATTGGAAAAGACCCTGATGCTGGGAGAGATTAAAGGTAGGAGAAGGGGAGGAAAGAGAACAAGATAATTGGATGGCATCACCGACTGAATGGACTTGAGTCTGAGCAAACTCCGGGAGATGGTGAAAGACAGGGAAGCCTGGTGTGCTGTAGTCCACGGGGTCGCAAAGAGTTGGGCATGACTGAGCGAACAGCAACAAACCTTATGGAACAGTTCCCTTAAAAACTACAGTAGTACCAGCCACATCATTACTGCTTTTATGCTTCCTTCTGGACATCCTGGGCTTGAAATAAAGATACTGTGTACTGTACTCTGTACAGGTCTGTAAAGTACACAGAAGCACGGCCAGCTGTAGAGGATGCAGGCTTGCAACAGTGCAAGCCAGACACATGAACACACTTAGGTGATTGGACATGTGAACGCACATTCACAACTTTGAAAGGTTTGAAACTTGAAGATTCATACGTAGTGGACTTACTGTAGTCCCAACAGAAGTTGGGGAACTGAAAATGAACTCTTCCCATCATAACTTTGGGCTCTTTACTTCCCAGACACACCCTCTTCCTCCTGATTTCTGGCCCATGTCCCTACTGCCTGTGAGTCCTTGCACTTGAATTGCTTGCAAACTGATTGCAAACTCAACGTCCCCCAAACTGGCTGGGACCTCCACCAAAGTCTTCCCCGATGGGATGAAATTTCTCTCTCATTCCATCTTCTGCAGCCCTTTCTGCCTCTCTCGGGGCATCGACCTCCCGCTACCTGCGTAGATTTGGGCACCTGCCTGATTCCCCTTGCAAAATGAGAGCTCCCCGAGACAGTCTTTGTCTCACTCGTGGCTGTGCACCGTGAGTCACCCTGCCCCGTGATTTTCTGGTGGGAGGTACTGAAAGACATATTCAAGGAAGTACGCGCAGCAAGAGACAGACGACCTCTGTGGGCTGGGAACTCATGACATCTGGGCTTGCTTGCTATTTCTTAGCAAGGTAGAAAACCACTTTCCCACTCTGTTTTGCCCTGTCAGGAGTCCAGGCATGCTGGGGTGAAGATAAGGCAGAAAGAATTAGCGCTGCCTCCTCTGTATTTGTACACTACAGGGCGTAGGATGCACCATCGTTGGACTTGGAGGAAATGGAAAATGGAACTCAGCCAACTATTTCTTAGGTCATTAAAAGTTATTAAAGACAGCAGTAAGAGACACGAAAGTAGCCACAGAAATAAAATGGAAGTTCTGGCTACAAAAAAAATTAATCTAGAGACATCAGATGGGAGAAGATTGAAAGGTACCAGAAGAGGAGAGCTTGGTTTCCAGAATGCTGGTGTTGAACCACTTCTGAGTTCAGACCAGTGAAATCATTGTCTTGATATAAAAGATGCCCCTCTAAGAATTCTGTCCTCCTACACCAGAATCAGTTGTTGGTCTTACCATTGTCTCTCCTCGGAAATAACTCTTCCACACCCTCGCTGTGTTGCCAAGTCTTATTGCTGCTTCTCCTCCAAGCTGGCCTGTGTCCTGTCTGGAATGCCATAAAATTCTTCGGGGTCTCTGTGGCCTCTGATCACCACCTGCAATTACAGTCCCAACAAAAGGAATTTACTAAAGTCCAGGTCAGAACGGAGGCTCCTACCCAGGACGTCGCTTCTTCCTGAGGTCCGGATGGAGTTTGTGAGCAAGCCTGCCTTCTGTGCTCTGGCTACAGGCGTCATTAACACTGCATCGGAAGGAGCATCGCCTTGAAAATGATAAAGAAAAGGTGCTTAAAGCTGTCAGACCTGCTCTTCCTCTCCATGATAGATGTCAGTATCTTGCTTTCCTCCAACATGCAAGAAGTATTACAATATATTAAGGAGTAAGCAAGCCAAGGACCTGAGGAGGTCATCAGGAGGGTGGAAAGCTGTCGTTTTTGGTCATGGAATTGTGTCCATATCACACCATAAGGACTGTCTCCATCACTGGCTTTCTTTATCTTTTCTAATAGGCTGGGGTGCGTGAGGATGACCAGAAGGTAGTTCTCGTCTTCAAGTGACCTATGCTCTATTAGGCAGACACACCCATAACGTCTTAAACAAAAGTTCAGAAAATGAGGAAGCAGTAATGAGATGTTCAGTTGGAGCCTAGGACAGGGTTCATTTCCAGCCCAGGGGAGCAGGAGCAGGGCCCAGAGGCGTGTTTTCAGAGCAGAGAGTGGATGGCGGGCCAGAGGCACAGGGTCCAGAGAAACACATGGTTAGGTGTGGAGACGGCCAGGTGTCAAGAATGGCAGAGGAACGGCCTAATTCCTAAGACACGTGCGCGCGCGCGCGCGCGCGTGTCTGTGTGTGTGTGTAAGGCTTGGTGGGCAAGGTGGATGATGGGTATACTGAAGTCATCAAAAAACTAAATGTTGTGAGGATAATATTAACTATTACAAATTAAGGTGTCACTTGTGTGAAAACAAGGCACCCATTTAACAGTCAGATTTTTTAAGCTCTTAAATGCTCAGGTAAGGGATTTGGATGGCCAGGGATCATATGATGCGCAAAAAAAAAAAAAAAAAAATCAAGCAGTTTGGCATTGAATTACAGTTCTGTCGCTTTGCTAATGATGTGATATGATCTTGGACAGATTACTCGACTCTCAGTGTCAAAGGTGACCAGACTAAGCCTCTAGGGGAATGTGGGAAGATCAGATAAAGTGCTGGACATAAAATGCTTGGCATGTAAGAGAGACGAAAGGGCTGTGACTTCACTTTCTGTCTTCTCCATCAGAATCCTCCGGGGGCACAGCAGTCTTGCCACGTTGGAGAAGTGCCCCGGTTGAGGCCGGGTCATCGGTGGGGGCCGTGTAGGTGTTGGATCAGGGAGACGGCGTGGGCAGAGCCCGGATGATGAGGGACGGCCGTGTGTGGGCAGCAGGTGGGGGTCTGATTCAGAGGGGGCGGTGGTGAGACCGGTTCTGGGTGTTTGTTTTCTCACCCACAGGAAGACTGGTTCACGCCTGCTTGGAGGAGGCCCTGCCTTCCGTACAGAGATAAATGTGCCCTCACTTCCTGACCTGTCTCTTAAGGAGCGACTCTTAGAAGGCCTTCTGTGACCTCCTGGCGGCTCTGGGGAGGGGGCAGTGCTGGGAGGGGCAGGTCAGGAAAGCGTAGGGGTTTCCAGCTGGCTGCGGGCTGCAGAGCGCTTAGCTCCCCCTGGGGCCGAGGCTGGGGGAAGAGCTGGCTAGCTTTATCTTGCCTTTTGGATCTTTGAGGCTGGAACCAACAACCATATCCTAATCTGGAGTTCCTTCTTAATGCAAATGCAAAAGAGGTAAAATAAATTAGATTTTCAATCCGAAAAGACGACGTGGCTACTGTGGAAGGACAAGCTGTACTGTTGTTTTGTTGCTAAGTCGTGTCTGACTCTTGGGGACCCCATGGACTGTAGCCCGCCAGGCTCCTCTGTCCATGGGATTCTCCAGGCAAGAACACTGGAGCGCATTGCCATTCCCTCCTCCAGGAGATCTTCCAACCCAAGGACCGAACCCCTGTCTGCTGCACTGTAGGCAGTCTTTACCCCTGAGCCAGCTGGGAAGCCCTAAGGACAAAGCAGAGAAGGGTCAGGGTACTTCGGGGTGTAATTCAGGTGAGAGGTGGGGGTGGCTAGCTCCAGGGGACATACTGGAGACAGAAATGAACCAGACAATGAGGAAGCCGAGTTGAGAGTCCTGGGTGATGAAACATCAATAGAAACGATGGCAGGAGTCAATGGATTGACTGACTGCCTATAAGCAGCGCCCGCTGTGTCCTGCCATCACCCCCAGGCCCCAGATGGAGTTCCTTGTAGTTATCTCTCTCTCTCTGGCTTCCTAGAGATGAATGCCTGGTCCCCCAAGTTCAAATGTTGAAACCTGATGCCCAGTGCATTGGTGTTAGGAGGTGGGGCCTTTGGGAGGCAGTGAGGTCATGAGATGGAGAGCCCTCACGGGCGGGATTTGCCCCTACATCAGGGACTCCAGAAGCTCCCTCGTCCCTCCCACTGGCGGAGAACACGGTCTGTGAACGAGGACGCGAACCCCGTCCCCCAGATACCGTCTGCCTGCACCTTATCTTGGACTTCCGGCCTCCAGAATGGTGGGAAACGCGCGAGGGTTGCTGCAGCCGCCCAGGGCGTGTCATTCTGTCAGGGCGGTTCTACCTGCTCAGGACCCAAGCAGTCTCCGACTGAGAGCCTGGATGGCCCTGGGGACTTCCCCCTTTGCTTCTATCCCCTGAACAATTGGTCACCACGTCTGGGATTTTCTCTCTTTGCGATGTCCCTTGCCTCTTTTCCTCCCTTGTTCCTCCAGTTCAGGCCCTTCTTCTGTGTGATCCTTGGAGCCTCGGGTGCTCCAGTTCAGGCCCTTCTTCTGTGTGATCCTTGGAGCCTCGGGTGCTCCAGTGTTACCTTCCAGCTGTGGTCCTCGTCCCGAGCCCTGTGACTAAGAGTTAGTCTCTGAAACTCCGTGTTCCCCGTTCTGTGCCTCCCGAGGAAACCTGGAGGGATTCCCCGCCGGCCAATCGCTTCGCGGCATTTCCACTAAGATCAAGTGCAGGGATTCCCCGCGACCCGACATGAAAACCTGCGCTGGAGGCGTCGGCGGCGTGTGTGCTGTCTTCTATGTCACGCTCTGCTCCCCGTAACCGTAGTTCTAAAACTCTTGTCAAGCTACAGAACCCTTGTTTAAACGGAATCTTTTGTTCAAAAGCACGGGGCTCCGTAAGCCAAGCCTGTGAAAGCGGAGGTCTCGGGTGAATCAGGGGTGGCGTTTGGCTGCCTCTCCACCGCCCCCGCTGCCCTGCTTTCTACCCACCTGCGCGGTCCGCTGAGATGAGTCTGAAGACACTGCCGTTGGAAACTCATCGCCTTCCAGGAGGAACGCTCTTAGGTAGAGAGAGGTGTTCTGCTCAAGGAACCAGTGGTCGCTGAACCCAGCGTGCGTCCCCGTCCACACGGCCTCCGGTCAGCCGCTCCCCCGCTTGTTCCCTCATCAGGCCGGGGCCCGGCCTCATAGAAGGCCCCTCTGTGATGTAATGGGCGCTGTCACCAGCCTCTGCCGGCTGCGGAGCAGTCATCACCTGCTGCTGGCCGTAGCATCCTTCGTGGGGCTGAGGGGCCCTCAACAAACGCGGCCCAGACGAGCAGGTTTCCAGGGACTCTTAGCGTAGGCCAAGCATTCCCTTATTTTAATTTGATCTNCTGTGATGTAATGGGCGCTGTCACCAGCCTCTGCCGGCTGCGGAGCAGTCATCACCTGCTGCTGGCCGTAGCATCCTTCGTGGGGCTGAGGGGCCCTCAACAAACGCGGCCCAGACGAGCAGGTTTCCAGGGACTCTTAGCGTAGGCCAAGCATTCCCTTATTTTAATTTGATCTAGAAAATATCGCATCTAGAGCAGTGGTTTCCAAACGTTTCTCTCCAGGGACTCCATCGAGAAATTTCCATCTGAAAGCCTTCTTTCTAGGACAAATTTTAACGTTGGAAATGTTTTGTATGTGTATGTGTCAAATATTTGTTAAACAACTGTTGACAACTTTATTTAGCACTTTTATCAATTTTACGTTCTTCATTTTTTACTTTGTCCTTTTATTGTAAAAATTTCAAATAATACTGAAAAATAGAAAAGTATAAGTACATGTAATATATACCTAGATTGAATAATTTTTAATATTTTGCCATATTTGCTTTGTATATGGTCCTTATATACACATATTAAATATATGTATTTAATGTATTTCTAAACCATTTAAAAGTTAAATTTTATATACCCCAAAGCTTCACCTCTAAATACTTGAGTGCTCCTTTCTAAAAATGACATTCTCTTACATAACTGCAATACCAATATCACACCTAACTAAACAAATAATTCCACAGCCCATATTTAAATTTCCTCAACTGTCCCCCACATAGTTTGCATATCTGGTTTGTTCAAAACAAGACCCAGTCAAGAACATCCCTCTTTGTCTAGAATAATTGCCCCCTCCCCCTCTTTCTCCCAAATGCACTGATTTGTAGAAGTGGTTGGACCACTTCCCTTGCATGGCCACAGTCTGGATTTGTTGGATGGTTTCCTTACAGTCCTGCTCAGCTGGTTCCTCCATCCTCTGATTTTCCTGCATCTGGAACTTAAAAGGAACCAGAGGCTTGATTCGATTACAATTAAATATGTTTGGCAAGAACACCTCATGGGTGATGCGGTGCCCTTCACGTTGCTCGTAGCTTCAGAACCACACAGCTGATGCCTTCAGGACAAGTATCTTTGATGCTTCCTGTGTTTCCCTTTCCAATAATCCCCCTACCTTTTCTGTTATCTTACATGCTGTGTGGGCTACTTCCTGTGTTTTCTTTAGTTTTATCACATAAGTATGCATGCCTCCAAATTTTTCAGCTTTCTGCTTGTATAAATGAAATAGTAATTTTCACCCAACATTGATTCTGCAGTTTTTCCAATGGATATGTGAAGCTACAGGTCATTCATTTTCACGTCTGTGTCCTATTCTCTTGCGTGACTATTCCACAACTTATTTATTCATCCTACTCTTGATTGGAGAAGGAAATGGCAACCCACTCCAGTATCCTTGCCTGGAAAATCTCATGGACAGAGGAGCCTGGTGGGCTGCAGTCCATGGGGTCGCAAAGAGTCAGGGACGACTGAGTGACTAACACTCATTTACACTTACTCTTGATTGACATTGGATTTTTTCCATGTTTGTTATTACAGACGGTACTGCAGTAAATACCTTCGTGCATATTTGTGGTCTACTTGTCCAGGAGTTTCTCTAGGGTGTATATCTAGGGATGTAATTGCAGGGGTGGATGGTGTCTGTGAGTACACCTTTGCCAGGTGCATCAGTCAAGGTACAGTTACAAAGAACACAGGAGTCTAGCTCATCAAATCAGAAAGGGACTTATTATAAGTTATTGATCATTTGCAGAGATGCTGGGAGGGTTGAGGGAACAGACTGTAGGCTGAGCTGCTAGGGATGATTCCCAAAGCCACACCAAAGGACTGGGCCACCAAAAAACTGCCACTTGCCCCTTCATCAGGAAGTTATGTTTTGGACTGGAAAGCTGCCAGTGTAGTTCTGGCTGCAAAGCCACAGAGCGCTACGTACAATTAGGAAGCCACTTCAGCTAAATCAGGAAGCCGCTGTTAGACCTTCTGGCTCCAGAACCACGCTACCTCTGGCCTGAAACTGACTTTTGTAACTGGGAAGCCACCATTATAATCCCTGCCAGCAAAACGAATGCCCCAAGCTCTGCCTCGCTCCCCACTTAATGGAGTTCAGGTCTCCCTGAATGACTGGACAGGCCAAGGCTTCATCATACCCAGGACCCTGGCTCTGGGGGTGTCTTGGAACCACTGACTTTGGCTTTCTGTCCTTTGAAATACAGAATGGCACCCTAGAAGGAGGCCAGAATGAACATAGAGCAAATTAGTTTAGAGTTAATGTCAAATTGCTTCCCAATGGGGTGGAGCCAGTCTCTACTCTTGCCAGGAAAGCAGGGGAATACTTGTGGTTCTAAGTTCTTGCCAGTGTTGGGTTTTGTGGGGTTTTTGTCTTTGAAAAGCTACTTTGTTGTAATCTGAATTTGTGGTCCCATGATTAATAATAAGGTTGAGTGTGTCTTTACATATACATATTCATATATATTGGCCATTCCTGTTTCCTTTTTACAGCTAGGCTTGTTTATGTCTGCTGTATATTTCCTGCTCTTTTTCTTTCTTATTCATTGGGATCCTTCACATACTCTGAATAATGATTCTTTGTGAGTTGTGTTTCACAAATATCATCTCAGACTGAAGCTGATCTTTTCCCTTTTCAAGTGGTAATTTTACTGAGCAGAAGCCCTTATTATTAATCAATTTTGTCATTTTTTTCTTTATGATTTGTGCTTTTCTCACTCTTTTAAAAAGATCATTAAGATATTATTTATTTATTTATTTATTTATTTATTTATTTTTTAAAGCTTCAAAACTTTACTTTTCTTATTTTACTTCCTGACCTGCCTGGAGTTGATTTTTATGTATGGTGCGAGACAGGAAAACATTTTCATTTATGGGTAACCCCTCTGGTCTGCAATGCCTGATCGATCATGTGTCTCTTTTAAGTGTGGGTCAGTTTCTGAGCTCTCTTTTTTTTTTTTCTGTTGGTCTGTTTTTCATCCTTGTATTAGTAACACACCACCCTAATCACTGAAGCTTTATGATATGTCTTTAATCTGGAGGAACAGGCTCATCTTTTCACTTATTCTTGGCCCTTTTAGAATTCTGCATCATAAAGTTCCACAACATATCTTCTTGAGATTTTTATTGGAATTCATTGAATCTATATAACAGTTTGGATAGAAATGAGATCTTGAAGCTATTCAATCTTCCTATCATAGAAAAATTTTGTCATTCTGTTTATTTTGGTCATATTTAATGCCTCCCACCAAAGTTTTATAACTTTCTCCAAAAAGGCCTTGTGTATCTTTTATTAAGTTTATTCCTTGGTACCTTATTTTGTTGTTGCTATTGCAAACGATATTTTCACAAATTGCATTTCCTAACTTTTTTTCTTGGTATGTAGAAATGCACTTGACCCGTATATTAATTTTATGTCTAACAAACTTACTAAAGTCTTTTGTTAATTCTAAGAGTTTACAGATAATTGGAGGTTTTCTATGAAGAACTTAATATTTGCATATAATGACAGTTTGGTTTCCTTCTGTTTTGAACCTGTATCATCCTTGCCTTAGTACACTGGTCAGATTTCCAGTACATGGCTAAGAACAGGTGTGTGTTCTTTTGTTATTCCTGATTTTAAAGAGCATGTGTTAATATTTCACAACTGAGAACAAGATTTGCATTATTAGTTTGACTAGAGCTTTCGTTATATTCAGGACATTCCTTTCTCTTTCTAGTTTGTAAAGAAATTAAAAAATTTTTTTTCCTCATGAATGCTCTTTTGAATTTTATCAAATTCTTATCCCATATCAATTCAGGTCACAATGTAGGTTTTCTCCTACTAATAATAGAAATTACACTGGTACATGTTTTCAGTTCAATTCAGTTTCTCAGTCATGTCCAACTCTTTGTGACCCCATAGACTGCAGCACTCGAGGCCTCCCTGTCCATCACCAACTCCTGGAGCTTATTTAAACTCATGTCCATTGAGTCGGTGATGCCATCCAACCATTTCATCCTCTGTCGTCCCTTCTCTTCCTGCCTTCAATCTTTCCCAGGATCAGGGTCTTTTCCAGTGAGTCAGTTCTTCCCATCAGGTGACCAGAGTATTGGCATCAGTCCTTCCAATGAACATTCAGGACTGATTTCCTTTAGGATGGACTGGTTGAATCTCCTTGCAGTCCAAGGGACTCTCAAGAGTCTTCTCCAACAACACGGATCAACAGCATCAATTCTTCGGTGCTCAGCTTTCTTTNACTTTCTTAGGGATTGAAATGAAAACCGACCTTTTCCAGTCCTGTGGCCACTGCTGAGTTTTCCAAATTTGCTGGCATATTGAGTGCAGCACTTTCACAGCATTATCTTTTAGGATTTGAAATAGCTCAACTGGAATTCCATCACCTCCACTAGCTTTGTTCGTAGTGATGCTTCCTAAGGTCCACTTGATTTCACATTCCAGGATGTCTGGCTCTAGGTGAGTGATCACACCATCGTGATTAGGGTTAACGCTGACCTGACCTTTCAATCCCAGCATAAACGCAATTTGGTCATGATTTATTTTCATTTCTTTAAGTTGCTGGATTCCGTTTGCTAATATGTTGCTCAGGACTTATGCATTCATGTTTGTGAATGAGATTGATCATCAGTTTCTTCTCTAGTTTGGTCCTTGCCTGAGTCGGGGAAATCTTCCTTTTTTTCCTGTTGTCTAAAGAGTTTGCAGAAGTTTGGATTGTTGGGTCTTTGTTGCTGTTTAGTTGTTAACTTGCTTCCGACTCTTTGTGACTCGGTGGACTGTGGCCTGCTGGGCTCCTCTGTCAGTGGGATTTCCCAGGCAAGAACA